CATCTAACCTGGACCGTGGATGAAACGAGGGGAATTTCGCTCCATTATGGAGAACGACAGATTTCGGATCGAGAAGGATTTGCCGAAGAAAAATTCGCGGAGAACAAAGGGAACGAGGGAATAACGGTTCTATGGATAATAGAGTAGAACGGAAATCGGATCAACCCACGTCATCGACGCTCGAATTATCGAGCAATTTTATTTCATAATTAAAAAAGCTTCGACGGTGGACGGTAATGCGTTTTTAAAACGGAAAGGGATCGACGAGAAAAATGACTAAATTGCTGCTGCCGGATGGCGCGCGAAAACCGGACGATTTACTCGACGCTTTTCCTTCGGGACAATTTCGACCCGAAGATACGACGAGAATATCTCGACTATTAACGTGCTATGAAATAACGTTCGACGGTATCGATTGCAGCTCGGTTACGGTACGGTTTCGGTATTAACCCGTCTAAACGCGAGCGGAGAAATCTAATTCCGTGGCCTAGGAGTCTTGTATCTCGTTTTATGAGCGTTCGAATTTCGAAGTCGACAAAAATGACGAATCTTTGGAATTCCTGTTCCGTTGGAATATCGAACGGAATGCCGGCCGCAAAACGACGGAAGCTATTGGTTGGCAGGAAATAAATCAGTATGACGAACCGAGAGGGAAAGACGGGACTAGCCCATAATTTGACATCAGTCCTGTTCCGTCAGTAACTCTGGCTTAATTACATTCCACGATGCTCACTCATTGTATTCGCCGACAGAGTTATGTTTCCCAGAACAGGCACAAAGACGTCTCGAAAAGGGACTGACTGTAAAACGGACCCGTCTCAACATTAGTTAAGTTACATTTCAGCAGATTCGAGGGAACTAGAAAAATGCGGGGAGAAGATAGATCGGCCAACGATCTAATTTTATCCGTGGCCAGAGAGGGAGGTGCTCCCACACGGTGAAAAGGGAAAACGAGCTTTTGCAGGGTGGCCTGCACGGGATGAAAAAAGCTGTTCATCGGAGCTTGCGACGACGGGAAACCGAAGCTATCGACGTCATTCGAGGCTCGGGCTTCTGGAAGCTTTGATCGCTCGGCCGGATGCCGTTTCTCGTCAAACAGAGACAAAGACCACCGCTTGCAACCAAGAAGGACATCTTCTATCTATTATATTTTGCTCCAGCTTCGGCGAAAATATATGGACCACCGGTTCCACCTAATCGAACCGCTGTAAGGATCGCTGACGCTTAGAATGCCATAGTGCCATGTAACGATTAATCTTTACGGCAGATTACCCAAACGACCTTTCCTATGATATATTTATCGAAATAGAATGATTTATCAAAAAACTACAGATGCGAAACAATCGAATTTTACGTCTGCGGACGTAGTGAAATAGTCGGACTAAATTGCTTGTCTTATGTCCTTCCTTCCTTTCCTGTCACCCTTCCAACGGATGGCTTGCCGTGACTTTGCGTCTTTTTTGCGGGGATAAACGATTAAGGGGACCGCAGATAGGAGGCAACCCGAGATTGAGTCGATGAACTGAAAACTCCTTCGTTTTCGTTTAACGCCGGAAAAACTTCCGACTTTCTCGCTAAATCACTCGTACATTTTTTTATCTTCAAGCTTAATTACCCTTTCATTCTTACAATTGATTACAATTTCGCAGCGAATAATAACTCGTTCGTTGTTAGCGAAATAATAAATCATTAGTCCTTTTCAAGGATAACATTGATATCGATGTTAAAATTTTTTAGTTATTCTGCTGAATTTATTTGAAGTTATTTCTCTATTATTAATTGCTGTTATCGTCTGCTTTACTATGTTCATATTTGTATATGAATTAGATACTATACTATACATATATAGTATACAGGGTGTCTCACAATTAGTGTAGGTCCCTGAAATGGTAGCTGACGTGATTCTGAATAAAATTTCCCTTTGCAAAAATTGGATATGAAGCTTCGTTTTTGAATTATTAAGGAAAATCAAAGCGCGAGGATTACGCATGCGCAGACGCGAGAGCGACAGCTTCAAACATGGCGGCTGGCTGCGCGCGCATCACGCCAGCTACGTCCCATTTCGGGGAGCTGCGCTACTTATGAGACACCCTGTATAAACTATTATATAAAATACTATATACAGTACTATAAAAAATACTACATATATAATATTATACTCAGTTAAAAAATATTTATATCAAATTATCAACCATCTCACAACCGTGTCGAAATATAGCGAACCGAAGTCGCACAACTGCAACAGCGAGTACGAGTCCCGGAGAGGAAATTAATTTTCGAGGTAAAGATTATCGATTTCGAACACCGATCAAACGAATGTCTTCGTCACGGTGGTCTTATGTTCCATTTCGCGTTGTAACTAACCTCTTACGTGTGCGTTTATTCGATATCGATGCAAGCCGCGTGTCAAATAAACAGCGAATACCTGATATCGAACTATAAGCGTACCGTAACGAGAGGAGTTCGAACGATCGTTATCGAACTAACCGCACGATCATTTAAGCCGAAGCTCCTCGGACACGAACAGCATTGACATAGTTTAAGAACTTGCTCTACAAGATGGATACGTTTATACTAAAAGAAAGTTTAACGTCTTTCGAAAACTACGAAAGTTGTAAGATATTTTGAATCTAACGAGGACGCATAGTAAAAAAACGTTTCGCATTCGAAGGTGTTAGCACGTACCACGCAATTAGCCAACATGTAATTTAACCCTGGATCGCGTAAAGTCCAGCCGGTGGTGCGATAAAGAGGAAATAAAACGAAGGGTACGCCTGTAATTAGACTGTCGACAGATGCGTCGCGTCCTACGAGACAAAATGTCAAGACGCGAGTCGTTAACACATTAGTCTTCGTGTCTCCAGATTCGTTTGACTCGCGTGTTTTTCTTTCGAATTAATTGTTGCGGTCAAGCGTGTTAAACGACTAAAGTAAATCCGGTGGTGTGTACTCTCAAAGGTACAAAACAAAATGGAAGCAAAAAGAAACAAGAGAACGACAAAGAGAAAACATGGCGGCTGGCTGCGCGCGCATCACGCCAGCTACGTCCCATTTCGGGGAGCTGCGCTACTTATGAGACACCCTGTATAAACTATTATATAAAATACTATATACAGTACTATAAAAAATACTACATATATAATATTATACTCAGTTAAAAAATATTTATATCAAATTATCAACCATCTCACAACCGTGTCGAAATATAGCGAACCGAAGTCGCACAACTGCAACAGCGAGTACGAGTCCCGGAGAGGAAATTAATTTTCGAGGTAAAGATTATCGATTTCGAACACCGATCAAACGAATGTCTTCGTCACGGTGGTCTTATGTTCCATTTCGCGTTGTAACTAACCTCTTACGTGTGCGTTTATTCGATATCGATGCAAGCCGCGTGTCAAATAAACAGCGAATACCTGATATCGAACTATAAGCGTACCGTAACGAGAGGAGTTCGAACGATCGTTATCGAACTAACCGCACGATCATTTAAGCCGAAGCTCCTCGGACACGAACAGCATTGACATAGTTTAAGAACTTGCTCTACAAGATGGATACGTTTATACTAAAAGAAAGTTTAACGTCTTTCGAAAACTACGAAAGTTGTAAGATATTTTGAATCTAACGAGGACGCATAGTAAAAAAACGTTTCGCATTCGAAGGTGTTAGCACGTACCACGCAATTAGCCAACATGTAATTTAACCCTGGATCGCGTAAAGTCCAGCCGGTGGTGCGATAAAGAGGAAATAAAACGAAGGGTACGCCTGTAATTAGACTGTCGACAGATGCGTCGCGTCCTACGAGACAAAATGTCAAGACGCGAGTCGTTAACACATTAGTCTTCGTGTCTCCAGATTCGTTTGACTCGCGTGTTTTTCTTTCGAATTAATTGTTGCGGTCAAGCGTGTTAAACGACTAAAGTAAATCCGGTGGTGTGTACTCTCAAAGGTACAAAACAAAATGGAAGCAAAAAGAAACAAGAGAACGACAAAGAGAATCGACTCTGGTACATGAAGCCCCGATAGCTTTTTAGAATTTTTAATAAGCGACACCGGCACGCTCGCGATTCCCCGCAAAAAGCGGAAATGCAAATTCAGCGCTTTCGTCGACCGGAAGGGGAGGACTGGCCTCTCGTAATGCCGGCATTAAAATTGCAAACCGTGCAACGGGTTTGTCGAAGCCTCCGTCTTCGCGATTCTGTTTCCCTCCAACCCTTTTCCCTCAAACCCTCGACGGCTATGATTGTCCGGGGATCTTCGAGTAGCAACGTGGAAACGGTAAATGAAAACCGGCGTTAGTCATGAAAACGGCTGTGGCTACAGTTGCGGATGCGTCATATTAAAATCCAGCATTGTTCGTCCCCGATGCGGTCGTTTCCCCGACGCCGTGTCGGGAAAGCGAGAGAAACGGGGGAAACAGGGAAAAAAAAACGAGAATACGCATCAAGAAATGATCGAAGATTAACCAATATTCGTGAAATATTTTGGTCGACTGTTAACAGTGCCGCGATGTTTCCCAGCAACGCTCAAAATTAATCTTACGACTTTATCGATAACGTATGTTTATATTTGCTCTTGGCTGTTTTGTCAAAATCTTTCGGATAATTGTGAACGTTAGAAAAATGCGTAGAATCTGTTTGAAATAGTACGTAATCGAGACCTCGAGGACACTTACTCGATAAACAAATACTTTTTTGACCGAGTACTTATGGCGGACATAAACAAACAACCGGCGACGCGACGCAACGCGAGATAAAGGACTCAACAGGCGGCTGTTATTCGAAAAATGTTTCGTTACGAATTCAAACTGCAATAATACGGGAATAAACAATAACAAACGCAAGAATTGAATCTCGATGATACTAGTTTCGACATCGAAAACAAGTACAACGCCGAAAAGCAACGCATCGATACCGCGGTTGAGTTAGTTTGCTGTGTGCATCGACGGGAGAATATTTGCGAAACAGAAATGCGTTTGGAAATTTATCAACTACACTTACCTCCGTACATCCGTTGACAGACAGCCCGACGAGGCCAACACGTGTTCCCGTTGATTTTTATCAACGCTAATAACCACCAAAGAGTGACAGCTGAACGTAACACGCGAAACAAACCAGCCGGCCGGCCGCGCACCAACTACGAAAACTCGTTCGTGTTCGCGCACGATTGCGCCCAACCGACTCGAGTGTCCGTGCTGCTCTCTAGCGGAATTAATACGAAACACTTTGCGCACGAAAATTCAAATTTGATAACAAAATTAATCTTGTTCAAAGAATTTACAATCATATATATACAGAGAAATATTATATTTATTAATTTAGTAGTGATAATTACAAAATATAGAAAATGCGTCGTCCTTTCTTGTTCTCGTGCGACGAGACAGTGCAGCAATACGTAATTCTATTTTATGGATATAACAGATAAATAAATAACGGCTTTCACTTTTAACAAAATGTTTTATTATAAGAATCTAGATTGCTTGCCTTAAAGCGTTTGAAGATCACAAAAATAAGTAGAAATTAAGGAATATTGGCAAGGTAGTCCTTAACATTGGAAGGGTCCAATCTTCTGAAACCACTTGCATTGCAAATACCGACTTCTATGTTATCTGCAGTCATTTGACCCTCAAATCCTTCTTTTAAAGTTAAAATAGCAGTGTGAACAGCGTCGTCCAGTTCTAAATCTTCGCTGTATCGCTTTTCAAGGAACACCTTGCCATTTACAAAATTTTTGCCCATTGCTGTAGCTTTCCATGCAAAATATGCACCAGAAGGATCGCATTGGTACAGACACGGTTTGCCATTGTCCCAACCACAAATTAGCAGAGACACACCAAAGGGTCTAACTCCTCTGTAACATTCATTGTACAATAAATTAGTTATATTCAACATTAGATGAATTAAAATATAATTGTTGTTACCAACCCTGACTGCGTGTATTCCTGCATTAGCATTGCAACTCTTTGTACCAACTGTGCAGTTGGTATTGGTTCCTGATAAATAAGTTGATACTGCTGTGCCATTTTACGGGCTTGCTTTACTAACAATCTGTAGTCTGGACCCATGCCACTGTATATCATTCCAATATGCTTTGTAATCGTTTCCACCTTTTTAACGCTATGTTCATCATATAATATAGACTTGTGTTTGTTTTCTGTCGCAAGTACGACTCCATTGGAGGCTTTAATACCGACACTTGCTGCTCCAGCAGCAACAGCAGCTAGAGCATATTCTATCTGCACTAGTTTCCCAGATGGACTAAATAACAAAGTAAATTGCTTATTGTTTGACAATAATGTGACACAGATATTTGACGAGTCATTATGTGTTACTTTTCAACTTGTGTGTTTTCCATAAGTAATATAGTAAATTATGATAAATAGTATTATATAGTGTTTAATGTTAAATTAACAATATTGTGTGAGAAAGACTTATCGTTTTCTTAATGTAAATTCAACGATAAAGTTTGTAAATTCGGATAACTCGAAGCTAGGTTATGTGAGTGAAAACTGAATGCTCCATGAAATTATATGACACAAAGTATGATGTATTAAATTTGATCTCTTCGAATTAGGAGTTTTAACAGGAAAATAATGTTTACCTGAAAGTAGTTAACGAAAAACTATAACGTTCCGAAGCCATGACAATTACTTTGCAACAATACACGACACTAAATACTATGAATATGTGTTGCAAGGGTAGACAACATACGAAAGCAAAATGAACAATGCGCTGAATGATACTAGGACTTTTATTTCGGTTTTATATAGTGGTGACTTTCAAATCATCGTTTATTCAAAATACTGTGTACAATTATTGGCTAAGCTTCTAAATCTTGCAGGAAAGCAACATGCTTTATATATGAACATTTGAGAATATCAAAATACTTGTTTAGTAGAAATAAACGAGTACAAATACTTTAGATATTAACGTGTGTAGGGTTAACGATCGTTAACCGTCGTTAGACAAGTGCAATGTCCAACTTCCGATAAAACAAAAATGTCAATCTAATGACGGATTCGCGATTAAATATTTTGACTAACCATTCGAAAGTAGATTCCGTCGTATGAATAGACTTTTCCTGGCATCAACGCATGGTGCAAAATTTGTATGATAATGCGGGAAAAATCCGTTTAACAGGAATCTTTCTTCGTGACGTTTAATAAAACGATTTGATAATCCATCGAAGAAGAGAAATGGCCGACGAGAACGGGAGAAAAGCAGACGAAGAGTTATATACGTGGATTTCAACGATACCATTTTCAAAGCCAACAAAAAATTTAAACAGAGACTTTTCAGATGCCGGTACCTCGTTAATTTCTTTCAATATTTTTATTCATGTAATTAAAATGACTAATAAATATACTCTTTAGTTATGATGGCGGAAATTCTCAAAGTATATTATCCCCGTTACGTTGACCTTCACAATTACGCACCAGCTAACTGTCTAAGCACGAAGAAAGAAAATTGGAGTTTACTGAACCGAAAAGTACTCAGTAAAATTGACATGAAATTAAACAAAGATACAATTCATCACATTGCAAATTGTCAGTCAGGAGCCATCGAAAACGTGTTATTAGAATTACGGAATAAGGTGTTGAAGAATTCCGAGTATCAGAATTCTTCGAATACTTCCGGCGATGATAAGGAAAAAGATCTAGCTGATGCAGGTACTTTAATAGCGTATAATAAAAAGTGAAATTATAATGACAAACAATCGTATTTTCTTCAGGCAAAAACGAGAACAGTGCAAAGATCATAACGTCAGAAAAATTACCGTGTTGTGCTGATCAATTAACTTTAAATATCGAGTCAACAAAATCGACACTCGCTCGCGTCAGGGAAAAATTTCTTGTCATTCTGCGGTGGCTGATCGGTTGGTTCTTCGTTTGGAATTACTTTTCGAGAATCAAACTTCCATCGTTAAAATTTTATTTCCGAAGTTCAAGTAAGTGACGTGAAAGAAAAGAGAATACAAAGACTAATAAATTTCGTATACGTAAGATACGTCCTTGAACATGCAAAATTAATGTTTCTTTTCCCGATCTTTCAAGGAAATAAAAATGTCGAGTCATTTAAACCTGAAAAAATATTAGCGAACGACGACGGGAGAGAGACTATTTCTCGTCAAGTTTGCGCGCAATTAAGACAAGAACTACGCGAGAAGGATGACGTTATTTGCACCTTAAATCACAAACTTGCATACCTCGAGAGCGCAATGAAGCTTCAAGATCTGCGTATATCCAACCTGACATCGCAAATCTTGCAAAACGCCGTGGAATTCGAGCAGCTCGGAAAAATGCAGGCGAGCAACGACCAGCAAGCCAAGTCCCGACTCCGATCACAAATCATTCGGGAAAAAGTGAAAATCGAAGTATAATGTCCGTGAACTTAAATAAATCCTCGATTGTCGCTGCTTTTTTGTTTTATTTCTTGGAGAGAAACAATAGACATTAAGAAAAGTATATTAGTATATAAATAATTAAACTAGACAGCAACTTTGTCGGACGGTCCAATTACTCGTAGCGATTATAATCGCCTTAATTAGAATCCACTTCCTCGAGATTTTAGAACGTGATGAGATGATCCGTTTATTTTTAATAGCGCATTCGAAAATAGGTAATTAATTATGAAACGGAATCAGGTGAACTTTGTAAGTAAAAAATGTTTGCAGACCAATCATTTAAATATCGGTATAAAAGTTCAGCGTATTGAAGGACACCTTTTTTCCAGGATAAAATAGAACAATTTGACGTGGAAGTTCATTAAAAACCACTCTTTCGTTGCTCTGTAGCTGAAAAGGTGGGGAGGTGGTTGAAGAGCGTACGCTTTTACGAATCACGATGTCAGTGTAGAAACAAGACTCAGGTAGGCAAGGTGTGTAAGTAATACTTGAATTCTCGAGCCAGTCTGAATGAGAATCTAGTAACGATCGATGTGAGTATAATTCAACGTTAAATTAATATTATTTTTACACTCGCTTTTCCTGCTTGTTACTTTCTTTCGAAATTCTGTCGCAACGCTATTGTTTGGACTTGTGAAAGACTTTCTACACTCGCTAACGAGTTAATAGTTCAATTATACGCACCATTGATCGCATCAAATTATTACTAACGTTGCAATTCCATTAGCGTAAATTATAATTGTATTCATCGCATCTTTGTGTCATTCGCAACTGCTATGTTTAGACGTTTCTTTTGTTTCTTTTTTATTATCACATCGAAACAAACTCGTAAACTACGGGTAGAAACCGGTTTATCTTGATTTCGGTAAAGATTATGAAACTTGTTCCACGAAATGCTACTGTACATTTTAATTATCTAAGACCACGTGGTAGACAATGCATCATTATTCAAATATCTCTTATTCGGCCATTTTAATTCCTCCGTTTATAATTACGAGTCGTAACATTACAATTCAAATGTGAAAAAAATTAATGTGCATAGGAATCCAGTTTTGAGTCCAATTGCAGTTTCTATAATTAGCTAGCTAAATCCAAAATACACCTAACACATCAATATTAATGAACGCTGTTGAAAGTATAGATTTATATGGAAGTCTCATAAAAATGTGACTCGCATCGGAGATCCGCTTTGTACGACTAGCTATTCTGTCAAGTAGAACGTCAGTGTCCGACATCTCCAACGATTCATGTTGGTCATCGACCTTTGGCTAACATTCCTGCAAACGAGAAACTTCAAGGTCGCCTGCTGCGCGGCGAAAGATTTCATTGAAAAGTACTTCAGGCTTCATCTTCATACTGTTACTTAACTCATTAATATGCACGCGCTCTACGACACTTTCTTAACATACTTTCATCTCGTAAAATGCAGAGTGTCACCTGTCATACGTCATTCATTTAGATCATGTTACTGAAGATCGTATCGTGCACGACGCTGTGTTACTTAGTCGCAGTCCTGTTATTCGGCGCGCTTCTACTCCTATCAGTTCTGTACATGTACTTACAGTACAGGATAGGAAAGTGCACGAGCAAGAACAAAATGGACGGGAAGACGGTATTGATAACTGGATGCACTTCTGGAATCGGGAAGGAGACTGCGAAAGATATCGCGAAGAGGGGCGCCAGATTAATTATGGCCTGTCGAAATGTGGAAGCTGCAGAAAAATTCAAAGGTCTTTAGAACGATTAATTGCTTCGCTATAACTTCAAATTTATTCTTCAAATATATACTTTAAATTTTTGTATTAAGAATTCTTTCAAATAGTTATCAGAATATAAATTTTTTCCACAGAGGAGTTAGTCAAGGAAACCGGCAATACAAACATAGTTGTGCGAAAGCTCGACCTGTCATCCTTCTCTTCGATCAGACAGTTCGCGGAACAAATAAATCGCGAGGAGGACCGGTTGGACGTGTTAATTCACAACGCAGGAACTGCAGAGGTGTTCGAGAAGAAGGTGTCAGAGGATGGCTTAGAAATAACTATGGCGACAAATCATTATGGACCATTTTTGCTAACACATCTTTTAATCGGTAAAATAAATTACGACGACGCAAAAAACTTCAGTTCCTAACATTTGAATTCCTGTTTAACAGATTTACTAAAACGTTCGAAACCAAGTCGGATAGTGGTCGTCGCATCGAGCCTGTACTTTCTGGCGCGGTTAAATCTGGATAATATGAATCCAACGACAACGTTTCCTGCATACTTGTATTACGTCTCTAAGTACGCGAATATTGTGTTCACGTTCGAGCTGGCAAGACGTCTCGAAGGTTCCGGGGTCACAGCTAATTGCCTTCATCCTGGACTGATAAATACTGGCATTTGGAGTAAGGTGCCGCCTCCAGTATCGTGGATATTGCGGTTTATACTGAATACTTTCTTCAGAACGCCTGCACAGGGCGCTCAGACCTCTGTGCACCTTGCTGTTTCGGACGAAGTGAACGGAATTTCTGGCAAATACTTTTCGGATTGTCGCGTAAGTTTGTAACATTGTAAATACAATTTGTAAAATTGTTCGTTGAAATTCGGTACAATGTGGATGATAATTTCAGATACAAGAACTTTCTGGTGAAGTAACGGACGCAGCGAAAGGTAAAAAGTTTTGGGAGCTCAGCGAAGCCATGGTGAAACTTCAACCGACGGATCCAAAGATATAGAAATGTTTTATTGAGTATTCAAGTATTGACCATTTAATTCCTAGTTATCCTTTTTGCTCTTTATAATTTATACCGACTATATCAACTGTGACAGTAATAAATATTTTTATAAATTTATAATATTTTATTTTAAGCTCAATACACAAGAAGCAGATAAGAAATTCCTGTTTGTGGTAATGATTTATCGAACAGGATCTACTGTAAAATATAATACGTTCAGTGTTTCACTCCACTCGATGGTTCAGGGAAAAGTCTTTCCCAGACTCGCATTCTTTCAGGGAAGAAGTCAGTTCTCATGGTCGGATGAAGATTGATATCCAAGAAATTGGTCTGTTGGGGATCGAACGTAGTCCACCTCACGTTCTTAAGTTTATCGTGGTCTTTAGGAATGGGTTCACCAGTTTTCACGAAATTCGCCCACATGGCTGTATAAATGTCCACCATAGGCGTTTCAGGGTCGCCGCTTTCGAAGTACGGGAAGAATTGCTTCATGAAGAAGAGATACATCAGATCGTCATGATGAGTCACACCTTTAACATTAAAGTTCGAATAAGTTCAGAAGGGTATAGCTTCTTTAAATAAATAACAGAGATACGAGAAACTTTACCAGATGGCGTGGTTTCATTCCACATTCGGAAGCTATATCGTCCTTGGAAGGTAAATTTATAAAAGTACACTGGTTGCTTTGACATCGAAGCAAACAACTTGCCTGCTCGGAACATGGCGAATGTAGGCACAGCATCGCCTAATATCTGCAAGATATTTATTAATCATTACTACGATTTTCATTAACATTCAGTCTCATAAATTTCGTACGAACCTGTTTAAGGTTCTCGTAGGTCGCCGAACCAAGTGGCTGACCCTTGAAGTAAAATTTCTTCAACTCTCTGCTGATGTAGTTTGATCGTGGTGTGTCGCGTTCGTACATGAATATAATAGGCGCAAGCCTGTTCCAATTCTCGTCCAAAATACGATAGAACGATCCATTATCAGTGTGTTCGTATACTGAAAAATAATTGTAAAATTGACTGCCTGTGGATACCAACGTCATAGTTGAAGCACTTACAGGAAGCTATTCCTCCAAATTCATCCTCTGTTACTCCAAGAATGTACGGGACCTGTTGGAACTTTCCTTTCTTGATCAAATCGTACGGCTGTGCAGTTAAGAATCTGTCTGGAACACCTTCGGGTTCCACGGCGGGTTTCCACAGCAAAATCGGATTACCGTGCCAGTCCTATCACAAACAATGATTATTAGATCGTAAGAACATTTTTTGCTGGTCTACATAACAGTATAAAATTACTCACAAACATGTCGTTAAAGGTACTCAGAAAGTCTTCCACCGGTTTTTCTCTGAGACAAGACAACATCGCAGCGGTTGTCTCAGTAGAACAATTCATCAATCTAGCTTGCTTTCTAGAGAGCTCGTTCTGTCCATTCTGCGAAATAGAGCCGTAGACGTCATTTCCTATGGCCGAAGAGCTCATCGAGATAGCTTTGTGGAATAATCCCTGAGACAGCGGGGACACCATGTGTAACATAATACTGAAACTTCCGGCACTGTAGCCGCACAAAGTGACATCATTTGGATTACCGCCGAAAGCAGCGATATTCCTCTGAACCCAACGAAGTGCTACAACCTGATCTTTCATGCCCATATTACCTGGTGCCAAACTGTCGCCCGTGCTGAAGAAGCCTGCATTTAAATTAAAATCAATAACACTGGCAATCTTACATTGACAATTTTCTTCAAAATTACCTAACGTTCCGAGACGGTAATTAATTGTAACTAAGACGATGTCGTGATCGAGCAGATATTGCGGTCCGAAGTTTACACTTTGTCCGGAAAATCCGTAAAAGCCGCCTGGATGTATGAATATCATAACTGGTCGGCTCACATTTTCGTTTTTACATGGTAGCTGAAATTAGTGAGTTTAAGTAGAAGTTTAATTACGTTTCAAATCTTGCTTGTGTCAAATTGTTGTTGGATGTTGCTTACTTTTGTGGTGTAAACGTTTAGTCGTAAGCAGTCCTCAGATTGTATTTTTCCGTCCGGGTGAGGACAACTGGGTCCTTCTTCAGTTGCGTCGAAGACATTCTTCCAATCTGCCGATGGGGTTGGAGGCTAAAAACATTTGTTGTAATTTTCAGTACAATCTTTAGTTCTTTGATTGCGATATTATCTCGAATATGATAATCTGTACATTGACATTGTAACAATGATTCACCACTTGTGAAAGCATAAAATCTCGCTAATCGAGTGACTCGATTTACTTTTGTCGCGCGTCCACAGTAAATAATCGAATCTTTCATTCTTGCATTGAAATTCAAATTGTTACAAATTACATTTAATTACAAATTAATTACAGTTATTTAATTGCAAAGTTTACCTTAAAACGTTGCTGCCCAGTGGGTGGTTCGCCATACCTCACACCTCGAAACGAATAAATCTGCTTCCCAAGTCTCGAAGTCAAAATCGAGCCCCGAATCTTTCCAATCGGTGCCGCTACTATGGGATTCTCATTGGCTTTCGAGATTCCCTTAGTATGTTGAGCGTTGATAGCTACAAAGATACCAAACAGTATAAAAATACCCTTCATCTTGAAAACTTGGTTCTCGTTTCGTAAAAATGTTCCCGTTGAAGGGGAACAAGATCTAGATGAACTTGGAGGCAACTGGTTTGAATGCACCGGCGTAACCGGTGCTGTACTGAAGAAGTCAGGAGCAAAACGGAACAATTTATATGATCGCTAAGAGGAAAACGAGTGGGAAAATCCAATTACCACAGTCAGAACAATGGTATCTTATAAACGCTTATGTAAAGACCTCCAAATTTGTTATACTTGCAATTATAATTTTATCGGAAGGTTAAAGGTTACGCGAAAAAAATTCTGGACATTGATTATCGGAGAAATATTATGGTAATATGTCAATGTATTTGGTAATACTTGTATTATTTCCATTATCATATATTTATATTGCAAGTGTTATGACCTCAAGATTGATTACGTAAAAATTAATAAGCCGGTGATAGCGATATTGATACACACAATACATACAATACATACAAAACATACAAAATACATACAAGTCACTTCTAATTTTTAACAACTAAGGAACGAGGAAAGTCAAGAAAGTAGATTAGAATATTTTATTCATTTTATTTCTACATAAAACATTTTTCGCAATTTACGCCGTTGAGGGTAAAGGGAACAGTCTTTCCCATTCCTGCATTCTATCAAGATAAAGACCAGTCTTCATGGTAGGATTCGCGTTAATTTCCAAGTAGTTATCTTGTTTAGGAACAAACCTGTCCCACTTTATCTTCTTAAATGCGCCACTCTTGGGAACGGGCTCGCCGCTCTTAACGAAACTGGACCATAGAGTCGTGTATAATTCCACTATCGGATCTTCGGGTGCAGTTTTATCGATAAATGGGAAAAGAGCCTTCATAAAGAACAAGTACTGCAGATCGTCTTGGTGCACGACGCCTGGAATAGAAACATAAAGTTAATTGAGAGATAAATTAAACATTAAATACTTGATTTACCGTATGGCGTAGTGGCATTCCACATAGTAAAACTATAACGTCCTTGATACGCGGACTCATAGAAATAGACGGGTTCCCTAGAATTTTCAGCGATCCATTTTGCACCGCGATACATTGGAAATATAATTACACTGTCCGCATAAATCTGCAAATCCATAAATTGTTAATATAATTTCCATCAGATGATCTTGTGATGATCTTCATGTCAGAAACAGAGAAAAACTTGTTCATAACGTACATGAGCTAAACCGTCTCTATTAGCTGAATCAATCGGTTTGTTATTGAAATAAAATCGCCGCAATTCTTTGGTGATATTCGCCGACCGCGGTGTGTCACGTTCGTACATAAAACTGATAGGCGCTATTCTGTCCCAGTTGTCGTTCATCTCGCGATACATATCATTGCCTTGTTTGGTTGAATTCTCGAACGCTAAAAATAAAATGGTAAAACCCATTCCTCAAGATTTATATTAAATCCCAACGCACCTACAACTACTCCACCAAACTCGTCTTTGGTCACTCCAAACATGACAGGGACTTGCTTAAACTTTTTCTGTCTGATCAGATCATAGGGTTGCGCTGGGAGGAAGCGTTCTACGCCTGGGACTCCTGGCTCTACCACCGGTTTCCATACCAGAATCGGATCTCCGTACCATTCCTAAAGCAATCCATAAACTTAATTCGTTCATTCATAAGATTCATTCTTATTCTTAAATATTCTGTAACGAGTCATTAAACTAACGAAAAGGCTAGACATAGTATCCGTGAAGTTCTGAACTGGCTTCGACTTGAAACAAGCTAACATAGCCGCGCTGTCGTTAGACGGACAACCGAGAAGCTCCGCTTGTTTCTTTGCGAGGGTTTTTTGCTCGGTAGGATAAGGTTCCGCGTTCATGAGCGATCCACTCATCACGATCGCTCTGTGAAACAGATATTTTGACATTGGGGACACCAGGTGCAAGGCCGTGCTGAGGCCTCCTACGCTGCAACCGCTGATTGTCACGGAATTTGGATCGCCTCCAAAGGCACCGATGTTTCTACTGACCCAACGGAGCGCGATCACCTGGTCTTTTAGTCCCAAATTTCCTGGTGCCCACCTGTCACCTGTACTTAAGAAACCTGCGAAATGGAGGAACAAGATTAGATAACGAATTATTCTTGTTAGCAATATATGAACAATATATTAAATTACCTAATGTCCCCAGTCGATAGTTAACGGTGACTAGAACGATGTCTTTGTCCATCAGATATTGGGGACCAAAGTAAAAGCTCTGTCCGGAGAAAGAGTAAAATCCTCCCGGATGGAAGAAGACTAATACTGGTCTTCCTACTTTTTCAGTCTCCGAAGATAACTGTAATATTTAAACAATAATGTTTTATACTTTGTGTAATTCCATATCAAGGTTACAGTGATGAATCATACTTTTGTAGTGTAGACATTTAAACGCAGGCAATCTTCCGACATTGATATGTTAACGTCCAAATTTGGGCATGAAGGACCTTCTTCAGTGGCATCGAAAACATGATTCCAATCTGCTGCTGGAATGGCAATCTGCAACGTGAGAAAATTACAAAAGATTGCCTTATTCTGGTAACCCATAAATAAAAGGAAACACAAAGAATCTTCTCTCACGGTTGAAGGATAAGTTTGACAAACGTTTACGAACGTTTCCAGGATTAATAAAATCGTTGAGAAACGAATTTACCTGAAAGCGTCGATTTCCCGTAGGTGGCTCGGCGTATCTCACACCACGGAAGGTATAAATCTTTTTCCCGAGCCTTGAATTCAAAATAGAGCCACGAATTCTTCCGGTTGGTGCTCCCACTTCCGGATGATGTGCACAACAGTGCGCATAACCGATAACGAGAAGCAAGAGTACTTGAAATAGCTTCATGTTTGATGATAATTCTACGTGTCTCGAATTTTAAACATGTGGAAAGTCCTCGATTAAGACCGTTGACTCACCGCCGTCTGAACAGAACTGAGACGACAATCAACACAAAGATGTATTTTATACCCTGACCAAGAATGTACAATTTGTAAGCTCCGGATGGAATTATAATGTAGATCGTGCGTCGATTATTGCGCGATATTACGCTTAACATTGACCTCATTTCCTGTCGAATTTCCAAATGATAAAATTGGTAATTGTGTTTTATCGTTGTAAAGGCGATGCGATTAGGAAATTGGTATGATTAGTGTAATCTGTTCCCTGAACTAGATTACACGATATTTATAATGCATTTTCCTTGTTTACGTTCAAGCGTCTTTTACATGCACGTTGTTACACCGGTTTATGTAATCGCTGCGGAAATTCTTAGAAAATCAAACATATGAGCCACGTGTTCGTATTACTGTCAATATGCAGAATATCCAGAATAAGGCAATCTTATTATCTATTCGTACGATAACATTGATATATTTGCACGTGCAAACAGTTACTCATTCCAAAACGTGTAAGGTGTTGAACAACTTTTTAAGATCAAAGTCACAGGTTTCTTTTTATTGTCCCTTAAAAATCTTAATATCTATTATATTGATTTTCATTTGTATTTATTCCTCCTCTATCTTCACCTCCGCTTCCTCTGCCGCCTCCTCCTCTTCTTCTTCTTCAACTTCGGCTATAGTCACTCTTGAAGGTCCCTTCATCTGACTCGCTTCTCTTCTCCTACCCCTCCTCTTATTTTTCCTCTTCGCCGAAGGCAGCTTCGCGGCTCGTTTCCTCTCTTTTTTCTGTTTCTTCGCTAAGTCTGGATATATACAAGGATCGACGGTTGGTTCGTAGGCAATCGGATCAATCGGACGCTTTCTGATTTTCTTTTTCTTTTCCTTGTCCTCCTTCGGGCACTCGCCCATTTTATAGGGTTTCGTTTTGGGCAATTTCTTTCCGTAAGGCTGAAACAACAAATTAGCTGTACAATAAGAATTTGATGATTGAAAGAGTGTCTTACAGGTAGCTTGAATATTGGTTTTCCATAGGCGTCCTTCTCGCGAGGTGGTCTTCTTTCGACGGGACTTCGGGGTCTTGGTGGTTTTGCTAAGTCTTGCACCCTGCCGGAGGCAGACGCGGATAAGGCAGATTTTTTGACGACGAAAGGGTGGGTCTTAATAGCTCTGTTTTTACGGATTATCGGTTTGGAGAGTTCTGTCATGCGAGGAGTTGCTGTAATGAACAAAACATATGTATCCATTAATACATTAATCCATTGTTACATTAATACATTAATACATTATTACATTAATACATTAATACATTATTACATTAATATATTATTACATTACTACATTACATTTAATGAATTAAATGTATTAATGTAGTAATGTTTTAATGTTTTAATCCATTAAATGTAGTAATGTAGTAATGTAATTTAACTTCACAACAAACCTTCATACTTCAGAGTCGACTCATCAACTCCGCCAAACGGATCCTCTTTACAAGGAAGCGGCGCAAATCTCCATGCGTGTTTTCTCTTCTTCCTCAGTCTCTCTTTCCTCTCTTTTTCTTTTCTCCTTTTCTCTTCTTCTTCCTTCGTCAATTCACCCTCTTCACCTTCTCCCTTCGCATCACCGCGATCTCGAGTCCGTCTTTTCCTCTTCAACCTCTCCCTTTTCTTAACTTTCGATTTCTCTTCGCGCACTTTCTTTTCTTCAGGCTCCTCTGCTAGATACTCTAAATCGTCACACTCCTGTTCTTCACCGCCCTTTTTCTTCCTTTCTTCCTCTAACTTTCTTTGCTCCTCCTTCTTCTTCTCCTCTTCGCACAATTTCTTTCTCAACCGTCTCATCCTTCTTTCTTCTTTTATCTCTTCTGCTCTTCTCTTTTTGTACTCCACCCAAGCCTCCTTCGCTCTCTGTTCTCCGTCCTTGATTATCGTTTTCTTCATGATTCTCGCCTGTTCGTCTTTCCTTTCCTTGATCGTCTTGTACGACGGCAAAGCCAGAAACTCTACCCACGGCGTAATCTGTTACGAAGGACTAGTTTAATCATAACTCCTACTAAACGAGAGGAGGAATATTACCCGATACTTCAGCGCCGTCCTCCGTGTCCCTAACGGAGTAAACAGTTCTTCCATTTCTTCCTTGGTGAGCTGTTCAGGACAGTGAAGCAACTTCTTCTGCATAGCTAACTCCTTCAACCTATCTTGGTCCAATGGTGGACGGCACTCGCTTATTGCGGGAGGCTGACATTCCTCGGGGAGGATTTTACGGGGCTGACTTAGTGCGAGTATCCTCGGCGATGCCTCGTAGGTCAACGCTGTCGGGGAGATTTGATAGAAAACTCGTCCGTAGTCCATCAATCTTATATTTGGCAGGGCGAGTAGGTTCGTTCGCATTGATGCAACCGCTTGTAAGGCTGCTCTTGAGACACTTGTGTCCAGCTTGCAGTGGATGCTGGGATCTACTGCTTTTCGTGGTTCGGATAAGAGGTTCATTCTTTTTCTTAGCTTTGATAGTGGCTTTGCTGGTCGGACCTGGAAAATTTTGCAGTTAGTATTGAGTGGAATAAAAGAACTGTCTATGAAGATAACTGTCTACAAAGATAACTGTCTGTGAAGATAACTGTCTATAAAGGTAACTGTCTATGAAGATAACTATCTATGAAAATAATTGTTTATGAAGATAACTACCTATGAAGACAACTATTTATGAAGATAACTATCTATGAAGATAACTGTCTATAAAAATAACTCTCCATGTAGATAACTATCTATGAAGACAACTATTTATGAAGATAACTATCTATGAAAATAACTATCTGCAAAAATAACTATCTATGAAGACAACTATTTATGAAGATAACTATCTATGCAAATAACTATCTATGAAGATAACTATCTATCAAAATAACTACCTATGAAGATAACTATCTATGAAAATAACTGTTTATGAAGATAACTATCTATGAAAATAACTGTTTATGAAGATAACTATCTGTGAAAATAACTATCTATGCAAATAACTATTTATGAAGATAACAATCTATCAAAATAACTGTCTATGAAGATAACTATCTATGCAAATAACTATCTATGAAGATAACAATCTATCAAAACAACTACCTATGAAGATAACTATCTACAAAACTAACTATCTATGAAAATACAACAACCAGCACAACTCTTGAACAAAAACTTAACACCAACTACTCAATCCTTTAATTTTGAACTAACAATGGGTTCTGGCTCCGGTATCTTCTTCGGTTGAGCATTGATTTTGGCCCAGGCATTGAAACGTGCCCAATCGGCCGGCGTGGCCAGCCATCCTCTCACCTTCTCCTGTGCACCTCTTCCCAATCTAAAAGAACAAGCTTCATATATTCTCAAACTTAATTTTATTAGACAATTATTCCAAAGTACCTTCCTCTGCCCCTCCTGTCTATTCTTCTTCTACCCCTTCCAGGTCTAGCTGCTGGTGGTTTACGTGGTTCTGGTTTACCTCGTCCTTGCTTATCCCTTCTGCTTAATTCCTTTTCACTCTTCGTCTCCCTTCTACGGGCAGCGGGTTTAACTCTGGGGGCCATTGTAACTGTCTAATGAGTTTCTAATGAGTAATTCAAATCAAATGTTCGGAATTCGATTGCATCTTAGGTTAGTGTTCTGAGTGTAGCGAAGAAAGTGGTGACTTTCACCGCACAAATTGATGACATGTTCCGGTATTTTATTAGACTTATTCATGTCATGATTATTTTAAATTTATCCATTTTTGGTGCACCGATTGAGATAATCGGATACGGGTAAGAAACCCAGACCTTGATCTTCGTTTGTTTTATCTGTCACATTTGGCGATCTCCTTCATTCTCTTTCATACCCGATGCTTCATATGACAATAACATATGTTTAATTTAAAGCCTAGCACCGTCTCATAATTAAAAGCAACGAGATTCAATTTTGCAGTTCAATTATATTTCCGTTACACATTACACTTATTATTCTGTTTATTTTTTCTTCAGCGCCGGAGGTTTCGCATCGTACTTCTTCATCGTTTGAAAGTAATCATAATTATCGTACGCATCGTTTCTAACAGGATTCTTCGGCTTCGCAAGTTCGTGCAGACGTTTCGAGCATCGCTTATTTCTGGCTGCAACTATGCGAGCATACGTGTCCAGCAAAAATTTCTTCTTCTTCGACTCTTGCGCGTCCTTTGATTGCTCGTTGCTGTTTATCAACTTGTAGCGTTCTTTCCCTAACAGAAAGCAAAGTTAAACATATTTGCAATTATGATTCAAGGTTTTACAAATGAGAAGTACCATTATTTGCGGAGGTTCTTAAGTTGGTTACGTTTGATATATTAGCGACCTGTTTTCGTTTCGGTTGAGCCAGTTTGTTTATGGAGTCTGTAATCTGATAAGATAATGCCTCTGGCTTTACCTGAAACACAGAACAAATTATGTTAATCTGTTTTCTTCTTCTTTCCGAGAGATACTTACATTAAAAGCATTGTAATTACTCGTTCGATCGATTCTTTCCTTCGGTTTTGATAACTTTTCGTATCTTGGTACGTTTGCAGGTATAGCATCAGTGTTCATATCGTTTATTAATGCCTTAATCGAGTTTCTGTAGGTTCTTTTATGGTCTTCGGAGTTTGTGGATTGTGAGTTTAGTTGAACTGAGGATTTTGAGATGTTTACTGTAGGGTTAAATTTTGATGTTTGACAACGACGGTAGTTAAGGATCGCAGAGGATCGTTTAGAAACTTCAATTTGTTTCTGTCAATACATTCGACGATCAATATTTCTTACAAAATTTCAAGTTTTTCAATCACAAAATTTCAAGTTTTTCAATCATAAAATTTCAAGTTTTTCAATCATAAAATTTCAAGTTTTACAATTGTAAAATTTCAAGTTCTTCAATCACTAAATTTCTAATTTCTAATCACAAAATTATTTGTCTTCAAAATGATCAAGTTAGTGTAAATATTTCTCGTAGATCTACTTCTCAATTTTTCATTAAATAAATTTTTGCGCAGCGAACAAATTACACCGGAGCCTACAAGAAAAAAGCAAACTAAAAATAAAAATTATTGGTGTGCTCCTAGGAAAGTAAAGAGCACCGCCGAAGTAATAAAGTTTGACAATATGATAACACTAGATGGAAAACCAAAAAAAGTAAAATCATAAGATAAAAAATTTTGATTAGATAATACATTATTTATTTTATAGAAACGTCGTAAGAAATTAAGGAAAAATGTTAAAAAACGTATCGATATCTTAGCTCAGCCTAAATCGACAAAAACTCAGTCAGAACACAAGTCTTCCAATGTAAGTCATTTCTTAAACATATTATGTTAGATCAGCTGCTTAAATAATTAATACTTCAACTTTAGCACATTAAAATGGTTCGGTTTCCTACAAGACATAAAGTCACAGTGTCTCCAAATAATATTTCTCCTCGCAAAACTTTGAAGCCGAAGAAACTGAAATCGACGAAAAATGTGTCAAGAAATTTAATGATAAAATCGAAGAAAAAGAAGTCTTTGCCTATCGTACTGCCGAAGAAAATAGGTCTTCGATTATTCTCCTTAGGTCCTTATTCTATACTTTGACTTCTATTAATAACTAATTAATTCAATGTGTAATTTGTTTTTAACAGTACAAAAGAAGCTGAAGGAATTAACAGACTCCAAAAATATATAAGAATGATTAACATGGATTTTTCCAGGAAAAATGAAGGTAAAAGATGTAACAATAGTATAAAGTCTACGAGATTAAAAAGTTATTATAAAACTTTATTCTGTATATATAAAAATATTAATGGACGGTATGTGTAATAAAACTTATCAGATCTTGTAAAGTCTTTAAAACGGACGGAGTTAAGCTTAAGTCTAGAATTTACAAATTAATACAAATATCTTAAAAAGATTTGTTTGTAATGTATCAATATATAAAATATTTATAATCAGTGTTTGATATTTCATACAAAGATTATAAAATCTGTGTGTCATTCTATCTAAATGTGTACGATTAGTACGATAAGCGTCGAATATTTTTGTTCAATGTACATGTTTAAGATTCATTGGTTGCAAAAGAGATCTAAATTTTATCTGCTAAACATGCAAGTAAGTATAATCATAGCTATCGTGGCTAGTATCGAATGTTCAATGGCTGATGCTCCAGCGTTACAGTCCACGATTCTCCTAGCTCTCAGAAAGTCTGGACCTAAATAGGTACTGTACTCCCTTTTTTCAGGCGGTATTACCACCAGTTGTTGTGTGGCATCTTGAAAGATCAGATCGCTGTAAGGCGGTGTACTGTAAAACATGCTGAAACTGAATTCGTCCTGTTCCTTTCTGCCATAAAATTGCTGGGCATATATAAATAAATTTATGTATGCGTTTATTTGTGTCTCGTTGTATCCGTAATAGCCGCCGCGCGTGACTATAGCGTTGGCTGCGACCTTCCCCAAATTACAGTGCATGTAGTCGGTAGTTGGTCGACGAGTGCCATCTGGACAAAGCAATTCGAAATCTTTCGTGAAGGTATTTCGCGCCCATGTCTCTCTTCGTTTTCCGTCTGTATTTTCGGCGACCGTCGTGTGCTTCACGAAGGCCACGTCTCCTCCTCCTTCGACTAAACATCTGAAAGCACCGGTGTATCCAAAGTAGTCTTCGGATGCGTCTCTGCGACAGTAGCGAAAGCTTGCACCGTGACACAAGTCACACATGTTATCGTAAGGCACACCTGTAACGTACAAAACGTCAGTCGCTGCCAATAAAATTGTCAATTCCGAGACAAACGGATGATTACCAATATTATATTCGGTGCTAAGCGCACCCGGAACGCAAGATTTGCTGAAGTATTCTGCGGCTGCACGAACGGAGTCGCAACCGTAGCCTCTAATCCAAGTATTGGAAATAAGATATGCTAGTGGATACACCCAACCTGCAGCCGTATTAATTCCCGTGTGACAAGTATACTTATTTTTTAAGTATGTCAAGTCGGTATTATCATCCTCCTCTTTCGCCACTGCGACTACGTAGTATTCTGGAGTAGGCAAATTATACATTTCAGAGATAAACGGAACCAAATCGTAACGTAAGCCAGCGGTGTATACATCGCTGGTATCTAGCACCGCTACATCGGCAATTCTGAAACAATAATCAATGTTATGTTGCAGTAAAATTTGTAATCTTAGTTTATTATTTAATACCTACCCATTCTGTATAGCCTGCATACAATGAATTTGACTGTGACCTTTATAACAGTTTAATTCTGGCTTCAGTAACTGCGCTTTTAATGCTATCTGAAATAGCACAGGATTGATATTAATAAACTTATAATTTATGAGATGTAACACAAAGTTTCGCGAAACAATAGTAAGTTAAATACATATTTGTCTTTACCTTCATCTTTATACACTTTTCCATTTCTGGATCGGATGTGACGCACAAAGTCATTCTGTTAACAGTACAACGACGTACTTCTAAAATTGGATCTAGGGATCTGCCCAAATAACCGCTATATGTCTGAATCTTTTCTGGCAACTGGACAAAGTCCCGTGCTGAATCCTAAAATCGTATAGGAAATATAAGATTATAAAACAATGATATTCCAGTAATATTTCACTTACAGAGAACAATAAGTTGTGATGCATTCCATATCTTGGTGCGGATTCAAATAAATCGAACGTTTCTATTGGCTGTACATTCGTTGCTTCAGTTTTATCCCATGGATTTAATTCATTCCCGTTCAAATTTCTTTCGAATCCATTACGATTTTCAGAATCTTCTGTGTTATATTCATTAGGATTAGCAAATCCGTTTCTGGTAAAATTATTTTCGTCAAATCGATTGTTCAAACCTGCTCGATTTTCGAAGCGATTATCATAAAAATCAGTCGAATTTCTTGTGCTGTGTTTGCTCAACACTCTAACTGCTCTTTCTAAAAATCGTTGATAGGCTCGACGGTGTTCGAGTTGCGTAGCAGATGATGTGACTACAGCACGTGAAGGAACAGTACCCCAATTGCAAAGTTTGTAATTGTCAATGGGTTTGCGCGTGCCATCGCGACAGAGCAATTCAAATTGTTCTTTCTTTACTGAGGCTATTGAAAGAAAAATTGTTAGTATTTTATTACTGCATATAACATCAGAGGAATGTTGAACTGGGGAACTTACTATAGTCAAAACTTGTTAATGTCATTTCATTCACTGTTGTATGTACTAAAAAGGCAATTTCTCCTGCCTCTACTAGACACCTAAATGCTCCTTCGTATCCTGCATAAGGATCCGAAGTGGTACACCTTCCTCCAGGTATTTTTCCGATACACAGTTTACATAACTGATCAGAATTATCACCTTAAATTATAAATTATTAACATTATTATTATCAAATATTTACACAATGCATGTAACATTAAATTAAATATCAAGTATACCTAATGGATTGTATTTATCGATCAATGAGTTTACAGCACAGCTAGGTCCAAAGAATTTAATGGCAGATTTCACATGATTATTGCAGTCAATTATTTCTAGTCCACCTTGTTTCATTAGCTACGTACAATATAAAGATAAAATAATTAGTTAGTAAAATATATTGATTCGATGATATAATAAATGGAAGTTATATGTACAGTATAAATAGGAATAATCCAGCCAGCTAACATTCCAAGACCAGGAAAACAAGCTTTTTTGCCTCTTAAATCTTGTAAGCTCTGAACATCTGGCAAAGAGCCTTTTTTAATAACAGCTACTGCGTACTGATAATTCACTCCGCTTTCATATATTTCTTGCATTATCGGTATTAAACTGTGATATCGACCAGCTATAAAAATTTCGCCTGCATCTAATGTAGTTATTTGAGCTATCTCTTGATCCAACATAGTCATACATTCTTCTTTAGTTGATGCTTGTTTACATTGTAATTTAATATAACTACGTTCAAAGAAAACTATTTCGCGATCAACTGCTCTGGAAAATGCATTGCATTTATCTTGCTCAGCTTCTGATATTGTACACCATGTAAGTGTGAAGTTTTGTCCTATAAATAAATTTTAATAATTATTATCACCACATTAAGTACTATTTAGAAATTGAAAGTTATGATTTTTAACATTTTTTAAATTTATCAATGAGAGAAGTAATGTAATGCTTAATAATAATTATGAACGCAGAAATATTTTGCATACCATATACGTGAGATAATGTACTAAAGAATATTAGAAGCACGTTTATAAAACTTTTGAATAACATTTTTAAAACGGTTTACGGAATCATCAATATAAAAGACAACACCCAACACTCCACAACTACAATACTGACACCACAAACAAGATATAGAATAGACTAATCACCTTACGGAAATTCATGTCCTAAAATCTGAAATACCGACGCGCAAAGCTATACAATTCAAAAATGGAGAATTCTTAAATCAATCTTAATTTTCCGACTCAATGTAATAACTGCATGTGGGAGACAAGAGTCCAAAATCTGAAATATTTACTCGTATGCTACATATATATTTTAAAATTAACTTTTCATTCATGAAAAATCTGTCGGTAAAATTAAAGTTTAATCAGCGCCATCTAGCGGACGGCATTTTTGAGCTACTCCTGGTAGCAGGATCGCAGGAAAGCGAAGAGGTAATCGCTAAATCAGAAGGTTTAAGTTCATAAATAATGTTCAGGTAATGAGTAATTAATTATTTTGTGTCAGCATTGCGATACGTACATGAGCCGCGTATGTCAATTCTACTGCACATGCAAAGTGCAATATTTCGGTACTTTGACGACGCAGTATGGTTCCTGAGGCATTTAGAAACAAATTTCTATTAAGGTTTGATGCGTTTTGATGCCTAATAAAGCCAGAAAATCAATTTTTGTCGAATTCGGTCCAAAACGGTACAGGTGGCGCCATCTAGCGGCGAGCGGCGGAACTACGAAAAACTAAAATTTCGATTTTCTCGAAAACTAGGGACTTTTCCGAAA